TCCTATTAATTTATTTGTATTCCCCATGGATGTATGTTTCTAATCTGTTACTCATGTTCCTTTCTTTCCTTTATTCTTCCTTGAATTTTTTTTTTTTTTTTTTTTTTTTTAGAGACAGAGTCTCGCTATGTTGCCCAGGCTGGAGTGCAGTGGCTATTCACAGGCACGATCCCACTATTGATCAGCACAGGAGTTTTGACCTGCTCCATTTCTGACCAGGGCCGGTTCACCCCTCTTTAGGCAACCTGGTGGTCCCCCACTCCCAGGAGGTCACCATATTGATGCCCGGACACCCAATTGGCATATCACACTACAGCCCAGAACTCCTGGGCTCAAGCGATCCTCCCATCTCAGCCTCCCGAGTAGCTGGGACTATGGGACTACAGGGATGCGCCACCACGCCTGGCAAAAAAAAAAAAAAAAATTTATTTTAAGTATACATCCCACAAATCTATCTTAACAATTACTACTTAATAATGAATGAAGCAGGCTCTTTATTAAAAAGGACTATGGGAAGAAACAGAGGAAATTGAGCCCAGGCCCTTCAAAGCCTTCATACAAATTTGCTGCCACAAATACCTCGTCTAATCTAGATGCATACTTTCCTTCAGCTTTTGATTTTCAAGAGTTCAGTATGACACAATAAAAGCCCTTCAGATCACAAGATTTTGTAAAAAAAAAAAAAAAAAAAAAGAAAGAAAAGAAAAAAAATTGTACAGCCTTTATTCTACCATCTTTTAAATAGTAATGTTTCTGAATTTTGAACAATATACATCAAACCAAAAGAAAGAAACACTTTAAGGGAAAATTATGCCAAAGCCAATTCTTTCCAATAATAAAGGTCAGGGATTTGATAATATGGACACCTGAAAGCAGTAAGCCCACTGTTTTTCAATTGCAGGAGAGGGTATGGTATTTAAATGAAATCCAAGGCCAGATGCAGTGCCTAATACCTGCAATCCCAGCACTTTGGGAGTCCAAGGTAGGAGGACTGCCTGAGCCCAGGAGTGTGAGACCAGCCTGGGCAACATGGTGAGACCATATCCCTTAAAAAAAAAAAAAAAAAAAAAAAAAAAAAAAAAGCCAGGTGTGGTGGCTCACGCCTGTAATCCCAACACTTTGGGATGCCAAGGCAGACAGATCACGAGGTCAAGAGATCAAGAGCATTCTGGCCAACATGGTGAAACCCTGTCTCTACTAAAAATACAAAAATTAGCTGGGCGTGGTGGTGCATAGCTGCAGTCCCAGCTACTCGGGAGGCTGAGGCAGGAGAATCGCTTGAACCTGGGAGGCAAACGTTGCAGAGAGTGGAGATCACACCAGTGCACTCCAGCCTGGACACCAGAGAGACTCCAACTCAAAAAAAAGAGTAAATCCAGCCTGACTATGGAGGGTTGTGCTAGGGATACATTACTTAATATTTAAAGGGTAAATATTAATAATAGTAATAATAACAGCAACTGACACATAGTGCTTTCTATATGCAAAGCACTGTTCTAAATGTTTTACATATATTTATATTTAATTTGCATAACAACTCTATGAAATAAATACTATTATTATCTCAGTTTTATAGATGTGGACACTATGGCACTGAGAGCTCCAGTGATTTGCCTGAGGTCTCACCATAATTAAATGGTGGAGCCAGGATTCAGACTCAGGCAGTTTGCCCTGCAGTCCGTGCTCTTAATCACTATGTCATGTTGCTGTTCATTCATTGCAAGAAGATTAATGACTAGAGTCCCTACAGCAGGACCAATGTGAAAGGACTCTCCCACAGACCTCAGTAATGTGTTTTTGTGACTGGGTGACATGGTTTGGCTCTCTGTCACCACCCAGCTCTCATCTTGAATTGTACTTCCCATAATTCCCAAATGTTGTGGGAGGGACCCGGTGGGAGATAACTTGAATCATGGGGGCTATTCTTATACCATGCTATTGCTATTCTTATGGTAGTGAATAAGCCTCACGGTATCTGGTGGTTTTATCAGGGGTTTCCACTTTTGCATCTTCATTTTCTCTTGCCACCACCATGTAAGAAGTGCTTTTTGCCTCCTGCCATAATTCTGAGGCCTCCCCACCCATGTGGAACTGTAAGCCCAATTAAACCTCTTTTTCTTCCCAATCTCAGGTATGTCTTCTTTATCAGCAGTGTGAAAATAGACTAACACAGTAAAATTGTTTCCAGGGGTGGGGTGCTGCTCAAAAGACACCTGAAAATGTGGAAGAAATTTTCAAGCTGGGTAACAGGCAGACGTTGGAACAGTTTGGAGGGCTCAGAAGAAGACAGGAACATGTAGGAAAGTTTGGAACTTCTAGAGACTTGCTGAGTGGCTTTGACCTTAAATCTCATAGTGATATGGACAATAAAGTCTAGGCAAAGGTGGTCTCAGATGGAAATGAGGAACTTGTCAGGAACTGGAGCAAAGGTGACTCTTGTTACGTTTTAGCAAAGGGACTGGTGGCATTTTGCCCCTGCCCTAGAGATTTGTGGAACTTTGAACTTGAGAGAGATGATTTAGGGTATCTGGTGGAAGAAATTTCTTTTTTTTTTTTTTTTTGAGGCAGAATTTCGCTCTTGTTGCCCAGGCTGGAGTGCAATGGCGCGATCTCGGCTCACCGCAACCTCCGCCTCCTGGGTTCAGGCAATTCTCCTGCCTCAGCCTCCTGAGTAGCTGGGATTACAGGCACGAGCCACCATGCCGAGCTAATTTTTTTTTTTTTTTTTTTTTTTTTGAGACGGAGTATCGCTCTTGTTACCCAGGCTGGAGTGCAATGCGCGATCTCGGCTCACCGCAACCTCTGCCTCCTGGGTTCAGGCAATTCTCCTGCCTCAGCCTCCTGAGTAGCTGGTATTACAGGCACGTGCCACCATGCCCAGCTAATTTTTTGTATTTTTAGTAGAGACGGGGTTTCACCATGTTGACCAGGATGGTCTCGATCTCTCGACCTCGTGATCCACCCGCCTCGGCCTCCCAAAGTGCTGGAATTACAGGCTTGAGCCACCGCGCCCGGTTGGTGGAAGAAATTTCTAAGCAGCAAAGCATCCAAGAGGTGACTTGGGGCCGGGCGCGGTGGCTCAAGCCTGTAATCCCAGCACTTTGGGAGGCCGAGGCGGGTGGACGACGAGGTCGAGAGATCGAGACCATCCTGGTCAACATAGTGAAACCCCGTCTCTACTAAAAATACAAAAAAATCAGCTGGGCACAGTGGTGCGTGCCTGTAATCCCAGCTACTCAGGAGGCTGAGGCAGGAGAATTGCCCGAACCCAGGAGGCAGAGGTTGCGGTGAGCTGAGATCGTGCCATTGCACTCCAGCCTGGACAACAAGAGCGAAACTCCGTCTCAAAAAAAAAAAAAAAATTCGACTAACCCGCTGGATTTTGGACTTGAATGGGCCCTTGAATAACCCCTTTGTTTTGGCCAATTTCTCTCATTTGGAATGGCAGTATTTACCCAGTACCAGTACCCCCATTGTATCTAGGAAGTAACTAGCTGGCTTTTTATTTTACAGGCTCATAGGCAGAGGGACTTGCCTTGTCTCTGATGAGACTTTGAACTGTGGACTTTTGGGTTAATGCTAAAATGAGTTAAGACTTAGGGGGACTGTTGGGAAGGCATGATTGGTTTTTGAAATGTGAGGACATGTGATTTGGAGGGGGCAGGGGCAGAATGATATGGTTTGGCTCTGTGTCCCCACCCAAATCTCATCTTGAATTGTACTCCCATAATTCCCACATGTTATGAGAGGGACATAGTGGAATATAATTTGAATCATGGGGGTAGTTTCCCCCATACTGTTTTCATGGCAGTGGATAAGTCTCATGAGATCTGATGGTTTTATCAGGGGTTTCCACTTTTGCATCTTCCTCATTTTCTCTTGCCACTGCTATGTAAGATGTGCCTTTCACCTCCTGCCATGATTCTGAGGCCTCCCCTGCCATGTGGAACTGTAAGTCCAATTAAACCTTTTTTTCTTATTCTGTTACAGCAACGGAAAAAATATAAAAGAAAAAAATAATAAACCTCTTTTTCTTCCCAGTCTTAGGTATGTCTTTATCAGCAGCATGAAAATGGACTAATATACTGGGCAAGGTCAGGGATTTGATAATACAGACAACCAAAAGCAATAAGCTTATCTACCTTGTAATTTCAGGAGAAGAAATAAAATTGCCTTACAAAAGGAAGCAATTCCACCAGAATATCAAAAGAAAAATGTGAGGTCTGGAAAAAGGATAATTGATTTCTGTTGAAATGAGAGCCAAATGTTTTTATTCTGAGGCATAGTACAGATTTGCTTAACTATCAAGGTATATTGAGAGGAACGGACTGTGAGCTGGTTATTAATTTATTGACTCTCAACTCTAAATTCACCCATCTTTGTTTACTTATGTTACAAAGCTGGATCCTGTAAACATTTCTCCTTTGCCAGTTGGTAAAAGATTTAGACTTTGTCAACAGAGAATGCTGGACGGACAATGCATGCCCACAGGAAGAGAAACTAACTTTGCTTCCTGGTACCGGTATGCTGTTCTATTTTTATTTATTTATTTGTTTACTGATGTGGCTGCTAGCAGATCAACTTATGGGAGGACTGGTGGCATTTACCCTAGTGGGCTGCTTCCTGTGAACCAGTTCAGGCCCAGCCACACCAACCAGCAAGTTCCTTCTCCATCCAACAGGACACTTCCTGTGGACCAACTCCAAATTGCCCTCCTCCCCTAGTGAATTAATTCGCCACCCTTTAGGCCACTCCCACAGCCCAGCTCCAGCCTGCACCCTAGCAGGTTTCTTCACCAACAGGGTATGCGGTAGCACAGGTTCCTATGATAGCCGCAGTGTCTCTAGTGAAGTCCACATCTCAGCTCTAGCAGGGAAAGGTCCTCTAAGTTCTTTGTTCCTCCCTCTTAGACTGACCAGTATAGTGAAGAGGCGATATTTGTATTTTAGGAATTATAGAACAATATACTTATCATTTCAGATTCTGAAACCATGAATAAGATGAAGGAATGGAAATCAAAGATGGAAATTTCTGAAGAAAAGATGTCATCGAGGACTGCATCTGAAAAACTCCAAAGACAGATGATCCAGGAAAGTGAATTAGTTGAAACCAGTAATTCTGAGGACAGATTATTAAAGCACTGGGTAAACCCTTTAACGGATGCAGTGAGACATCTCCCTTCCCAAGAGAGAGATATTAGTGAAATGCATATTATCCCTGAGAAAGCCATTGTGGGAGAGATTGGCCATGGATGTAATGAAGGAGAAAAAATACTTCGTACAGGAAAAAGCTCCCATAGATATGACGTCTGTGGCCAAAACTTCAAACAGAAGTCAGGATTAACTGAACATCAGAAAATCTGTAGTATAAATAAGACGTATGAATGTAAGGAATGTGGAAAAACCTTAAGCAGGAGCTCAAACCTGATCATACATCAGATAATTCATACAGGAAATAAACCAGACATGTGTAATGAATGTGGGAAAGACTCTAATCAAAGTTCAAATCTTATTATACATCAGAGAATTCATAAAGGAAAGAAAACTTATATATGTCATGAATGTGGAAAAGACCTTAATCAGAGCTCTAATCTGGTCAGACATAAGAAAATTTACAGTGGTGAGAATACCTATGAGTGTAAAGAGTGTGGGAAGGCTTTTAAGGGAAGCTCAAACCTCATCCTACACCAGAGAATCCACAGTGGGGGGAAGCCATATTTATGCCATAAATGTGGGAGGGCCTTCAGTCAAAGCTCAGATCTTACTATACATCACAGAATTCACACCGAAGATAAACCCTATGAATGTTATGATTGTGGACAGATGTTCCGTCAAAGTTCACACCTTGTCACACATCAGAGAATTCATACTGGAGAGAAACCCTTCAAGTGTAATGAATGTGAAAAGGCCTTTAGGCAGCATTCTTGTCTTACTGAACACCAGAGACTCCACAGTGGAGAGAAACCCTATGAATGTCACAAATGTGGGAAGACCTTCAGTGGGCACACAGCCATTCTTAAACATCAGAGACTACATGCTGGAGAGAAACTTAAAGAATGTGAAAAAACCTTCAGCAAGGATGAGGAGCTTAGGGAAGAGCTGAAAATCCACCAGGAAGAGAAAGCTTATTGGTGTAATCAGTGTGGTAGGCATTTCCAGGGCAGCTCAGACCTCAACAGACATCAGGTAACTCATACAGAAGAGAAACCATATGAATGTAAAGAATGTGGGAAAACTTTCATTCAGAGCTCAGACCTTATGAGACACCATAGAATTCACAGTGGAGAAAAACCTTGTGTATGTAGCCAATGTAGGAAATCTTTTAGGGGCAGCTCAGATCTTATTAGACACCATTGCGTTCATACTGGAGAGAAACCCTATGAATGTAGTGAATGTGGGAAAGCCTTTAGCCAGAGGTCACATCTTGTTACACACCAGAAAATCCATACTGGAAAGAAGCCCTATCAGTGCACTGAATGTGACAAAGCCTTCAGGCGCCATTCCCTCCTTATTCAACATCAGAGAATTCATAGTGGTGAGAAACCCTATGAATGTAAGGAATGTGGGAAACTCTTCATTTGGTATACAGCTTTCCTCAAACATCAGAGACTGCATGCTGGAGAGAAACCTGAATGTGAGAAAATCTCCAGCCAGGATGAGGAGCTTAGGGAAGAGCAGAGAATTCACCAGGAAGAGAAAGCTTATTGGTGTAATCAGTGTGGTAGGAATTTCCAGGGCAGCTCAGACCTCATCAGACATCAGGTAACTCATACAGGAGAGAAACCATATGAATGTAAAGAATGTGGGAAAACTTTCAATCAGAGCTCAGACCTTCTGAGACATCATAGAATTCACAGTGGAGAAAAACCTTATATGTGCAACAAATGCGGGAAATCTTTTAGGGGCAGCTCGGATCTTATTAAACACCATCGTGTTCATACTGGAGAGAAACCCTATGAATGTAGCGAATGTGGGAAAGCCTTCAGCCAGAGGTCACACCTTGCTACACACAAGAAAATCCATACTGGAGAGAAGCCTTATCAGTGCAATGAATGTGGGAATGCCTTCAGGCGGCATTCCCTCCTTACTCAACATCAGAGAATTCATAGTGGTGAGAAGCCCTATGAATGTAAGGAATGTGAGAAACTCTTCATGTGGCGTACAGGTTTCCTCAAACATCAGAGACTGCATGCTAGAGAGAAACTGGAAGAATGTGAGAAAACTTTCAGTAAGGATGAGGAGCTTAGGGAAGAGCCGAGAATTCACCAGGAAGAGAAAGCTTATTGGTGTAATCAGTGTGGTAGGACCTTCCAGGACAGCTCAAACCTCATCAGACATCAGGTAACTCATACAAGAGAGAAACAATATGAATGTAAAGAATGTGGGAAAACTTTCAATCAGAGCTCAGACCTTGTAAGACATCATAGAATTCATAGTGGAGAAAAACCTTATGTATGCAACAAATGTGGGAAATCTTTTAGGAGCAGCTCAGATCTTATTAAACACCATCGTGTTCATACTGGAGAGAAACCTCATGAATGTAGTGAATGTGGGAAAGTGTTTAGCCAGAGGTCACACCTTGTTACACACCAGAAAATCCATACTGGAGAGAAGCCCTATCAGTGCACTGAATGTGACAAAGCCTTCAGGCAGCGTTCCCTCCTTATTCAACATCAGAGAATTCATAGTGGTGAGAAGCCCTATGAATGTAAGGAATGTGAGAAACTCTTCATGTGGCGCACAGCTTTCCTCAAACATCAGAGACTTCATGCTGGAGAGAAACTTGAAGAATGTGAGAAAACCTTCAGCAAGGATGAGGAGCTTGGGGAAAAGCAGAGAATTCACCAGGAAGAGAAAGCTCATCAGTGTAATCAGTGTGGTAAGAATTTCCAGGGCAGCTCAGAACTCATCAGACATCAGTTAACTCATATGGGAGAGAAACCATATGAATGTAAAGAATGTGGGAAAACTTTCAATCAGAACTCAGACCTTGGAAGACATCATAGAATTCACAGTGGAGAAAAACCTTATGTATGCAACAAATGTGGGAAATCTTTTGGGGGCAGCTCAGATCTTATTAGACACCATCGTGTTCATACTGGAAAGAAACCCTATGAATGTCCTGAATGTGGGAAGGCCTTCAGTCAGAATTCACACCTTGTTAGTCATCAAATAATTCATACCAGAGAGAAACCCTTTGAATGTAGCAACTGTGGTAAGGCCTTCAGTGGGTGGACAGCTTTTCTTAAACACCAGAAACTTCACAATGGAAAGGCATTTGAGGACGCTAAGAGTCTACAAACAGGACCTATTCTAGTAGGTAGCAGCAACCTAATGAATGTAGCAAAACTAGGAAAAGCCTGATGGAGACTACATCTTATTGCACTACAAATGAGTTTTATTGTTAGAAAATTCATTTGAAGGTGGGAAAGTAGAGAAAAGTCCTACTGGATGAAAAACATGTAAGTAGAATCAAATGGAAAAGCTAAAAACTCTTGGACATAATCGCCTTTTTTTTCTGTCTCAGAGTCGACACTAGAATATGGTCCCAAGGATGTAACTTTTTAAATTATTTATTTATTTGTTTAAATGCAAAGAGACGAGGTCTCACTCTGTTGCCCAGGCTGGTCTCAAACTGCTGGCCTCAAGCAATCCTCCCTCCTCAGCCTCCCAAAGTGTTGAGATTACAGGCATGAGCCACTACACCACCCCAAGGGTATAATTACTTGAGAATGTTTTAGGGGATATCTATCATTGTTAAAAGCATTGTAAATCACTTTGGCAACCACCACAAAACTAAATTTTTCATGGAAAGAGCCATTTCATCTTGTCTTCCTAGTCCAGTCACAAGTTAAAATCTACAGGGGGAAAAAAACCCTGTGTTTTGGTCAAAGCATTGGTTTATTCAGAGGGGGGGGAAAAAAAAGGAAAAAAAGAAAGAAAGAAAGAAAGAAAAAAAACCTGTGAAAGTAAGGAGTGTAGGCCAGGCATGGTGGCTCACACCTGTAATCCCAGGACTTTGCGAGGCCAAAGTGGGCGGATCACAAGGTCAGGAGTTCAAGACCAGCCTGGCCAACATAGTGAAACCCTGTCTCTACTAAAAATACAAAAAGTGGCAGGGCATGGTGGGGTGCACCTGCAGTCCCAGCTACTCGGGAGGATGAGGCAGGAAAATTGCTTGAACCTGGGAATCAAAGGTTGTGGTGAGCTGAGATTGCACCACTGCACTCCAGCCTGAGGCAACAAGAGCAAAACTTCATCTCCAAAAAAAAAAAAAGTCAAACTCTTACTTGTCTTTACAGTGCTGTACAGTGAGAGCTAATGTTTATAAGGATAAGCAGGATACTTAATGGGATTTGAAGGTAATTTAATGCAGTGGTTTCCAACTTTTTTTTTTTTTTTTGAGACGGAGTTTCACTCTTGTTACCCAGGCTGGAGTGCAATGGCGCGATCTCGGCTCACCGCAACCTCCACCTCCTGGGTTCAGGCAATTCTCCTGCCTCAGCCTCTTGAGTAGCTGGAATTACAGGCACACGTCACCGTGCCCAGCTAATTTTTTGTATTTTTAGTAGAGACGGGGTTTCACCATGTTGACCAGGCTGGTCTCGATCTCTTGACCTCGTGATCCACCCGCCTCGGCCTCCCAAAGTGCTGGGATTACAGGCGTGAGCCACCGCGCCCGGCAGTTTCCAACTTTTTAACCACTAAGGCCCTCTTTTTATTCCCTCTATGTCCTGTGTTTTAAAAGATTAAAAAATTATGTTTATGAAACTGCATTTATTATTTTTATTACATAAAGGCATCTATAACACAAATTACACTTCTGACTGGCACCATGGAGGCAGACCTAGGTACTAAAATTACAGCCAAAAGCAAATAATTTAACATTTTTATTAGTCTTCTTATCCCTTTTGTGGGCAAATATATCATCTGTGTTAGGCTTTTTCAAATATTAACTATTACTTGCAAACTCCAGATTGCAAACTAACCAATTCACCTCTGATGCAGCTTGAATCAAACTAAGGGTACTGAGCTTCAGAAAGGAGATTGAAACTTTTGTTACAGTATGGAATATTTTCAACTATGAATGTAGAAATAAAAGTTATTTAAGAATTACTTAGTCACTGTTTAGTATGTGCCAGGGGCCATAATTAGATGGGGCCAAAGAGGGACAGTCATTGTTCAAGGAATTTACAGGCCAGTGGGGACTAAAGGAGAGCAAAAGAGTTAATCTTTAGATAATCAGATAATTTATTAAATAAAAGCCCAAAGTTGTTATAGGTAGCAGAAGCTAATGTAGTAGTGTCCAATGTGTAAACCTGAATTCTGCAGAATAAAACTTGTTAGGGCGCAGTCTACTTTGGAACTTTGAGAAAAGAGCCTAAATTATCAAAATTTGTCTTCGTAAGATTTTAAACAGCTAAACAACCAAACTCCAGGAAGATCAAAACTGAGGAAAAGTCAGAGTCTGATAATCTCTTTGAGGAAGAGGGGTATCCACTTGTGCCATAAATATTTATTAAGCTTTTTTTTTTTCTTTCTTTTTTTTTTTTTTTCTTTGAGACGGAGTTTCGCTCTTGTTACCCAGGCTGGAGTGCAATGGCGCGATCTCGGCTCACCGCAACCTCTGCCTCCTGGGTTCAGGCAATTCTCCTGCCTCAGCTTCCTGAGTAGCTGGGATTACAGGCACGCGCCACCATGCCCAGCTAATTTTTTGTATTTTTCGTAGAGACGGGGTTTCACCATGTTGACCAGGATGGTCTCGATCTCTTGACCTCGTGATCCACCCGCCTCGGCCTCCCAAAGTGCTGGGATTACAGGCTTGAGCCACCGCGCCCGGCCTTTTTTTTTTTCTTTTTGAGATGGAGTCTAGCTCTGTCACCCAGGCTGGAGTGCGATGGCACAATCTTGGCTCACTGCAACCTTTGCTTCCTGGGTTCAAGCCATTCTCCTGCCTCAGCCTTCTCAGTAGCTGGGATTATAGGCACATGCCAACACCCAGCTAATTTTTGTATTTTTAGTAGAGGTGAGGTTTCACCATATTGGTCAGGCTGGTCTTGAACTCCTGACCTCGTGATATACCAGCCTCAGCCACCCAAGGTGCTAGGATTACAGGCATGAGCCATCATGCCAGGCCTTATTGAGCTTTTAATATGCGTTAAGCATCGGGTGCTACAAAGCAGGATGAGCATAAATGGACAACAGTCTCTGCCCTGATGGAGCTTATAATAGTAGAAGATAAACTAATTAGAATCATTAAGAAAGTTGCAACCATAGTAAATGCCAGAAAAGAGAGCCATATGATACTATAGTGGGGTTTCCCCACTTTGAGAGGCCGAGGCAAGCAGATCACCTGAGGTCAGGAGTTCAAGACCAGCCTGACCCAACATGGAGAAACGCTGTCTCTACTAAAAATAAAAAATTGCGGAAAAACTTCCCCAACTAGATCAGACTTGCCATTTCTGCAAATGAGTTTCCTTCCTAACCCATTATTTACCCATGAACTCTCTGCAGTTTCCCAAGAATGTAGGCACCGCCCTCTTGAACTGTGGCCTTTCCATGAGCTGTTCCGTTAAGATTGCTCCCTCTTCACCTAGCTCCATTATTTTTTAGTACTTGGTATGTGTTGGGTGCCAAGATAAGCACTTAACATCAATTTTCTCTTGTGTTTACCTCAGTGAGTGCAACTGTTAACCCTGTTTTATAAATAAGAAACTATGGCCTAGAAAGGCAAATTTGCAAGCCGGGCGCGGTGGCTCACGCCTGTATTCCCAACACTTTGGGAGGACGAGGCGGGTGGATCACAAGGTCAGGAGATCGAGGCCATCCTGGCCAACATGGTGAAACCCCGTCTCTACTAAAAATACAAAAATTGGCCTGGCGTTTTGGTGGACGCCTGTAATCCCAGCTACTCAGGAGGCTGAGGCAGGAGAATCGCTTGAACCGGGAGGCGGAGGTTGCAGTGAGCCAGGGTAGCGCCACTGCACTCCAGCCTGGCGACAGAGCGAGACTCCGTATCAAAAAGAAAAAGAAAAAGAAAAAAAAAAGGCAAATTTGCCCAAAGACTCACAACTAGTAAGTGAAGAAACAAATTCAAATCCAGGTCTGCCCTACTCCAAAGCAGTTTTGTCGGTACAGTCTTGGGTCTCCCAATTCCCTCCGGTACGGGCCTCGCGAATCCGCTGCCTTTCCTGACAGACCCCCAGTGAGGGTCTAGTGCCTCCCTGGGCCCCGGCCATTGTAAGGTAGCAACTGTAACCTGCCGCCCGCCCCACTAGGCCGTGCTCTTCCTGGACAGGGACTAACCTTTTCCTTTTGGTGGGCCCGGTGACTCCAGGTAGACGCCCGACCCTCAGGCACCACGCACGACGCCGGCTCACGAGGGCCGGAAGTGCGGCCCCCTGCCCCAGCCCCGGCTTGTCTAGGAAAAGAAGGAGGCTTCCGTTCGACTTGGTGCGCCCTAGCCCCAGGAAGTTGGGAGTGGTGAGGCGAGCCGCCCAGAGCCGGGCCGTGGGTGGCGGCGGGCAGAGAGCACGCAAGCGGGAAGCCCTCGCGGTGAGCATCTAGAGCGCCGCCCGCGGCTCCTCGTGACTAGTTGCGGCGGGGGCAGCATGGGCGCGGCCGCCAAGGTAGCGCCGAGTGAGGCGAAGACTGATGGCCGCCTGCAGACAAGCTCCCGCAGCGGCCGTGCATGCGTGGGCGCCGGGGGCCAGCCAGGGGCGCCGAGCAGCTAGCTGTTCCTTCCGCCTCGGGGGTCTCCGTGCCTGGCGCCCATTAGCGCCGTACAGCCCTGCAGCTTCTAGGCCCCCCGGCGCTGCCCCAGCCTTGACGGCCGGGAGACTCTCCCTAGCCCGGCGCCTAGAGGACCCGGGCCTCAGTGGCCAAAGGCGGCGCAGGGTGCCCCCGGACAGTGTCCCCAGTAGGCTGGACCGCCAGTCTGCGCACGAGGCCGTCTGCGAGGCCCGAGTAAGGAGCTTGCTGAGTAAGGAGCTCCGTCAGTGACTGCAGTTATTCATGGGACCTTCTGACACTCTAAAAACGAAATTTCTCCGGGGCTGGATGAGTATTAGGGTGGTGGCTTCTTGAGTTTTGAGCAGGCATGACAAATAAATCCGTGTGGGATACGGAACTGTCTCTGTTCTTGGGCCGGGAGCGGTGGTTCGTGCCTGTAATCTCAGCACTTTGGGAGGCCAAGGCAGGCAGATCACCTGAGATTGGGAGTTCCAGACCAGCCCGACCAACATGGAGAAACCCCGTCTCTACCAAAAATACAAAATTAGCCGGGCGTGATGGTGGGACCTGTAATGCCAGCTACTCGGAAGGCTGAGGCAGGAGAATTGCTTCAACCCAGAAGGCAGAGGCTGCGGTGAGCTGAGATCACACCACAGTACTCAAGCCTGTGCAGCAAGAACGAAACTCCATCTCAAAAAAAAAAAAAAAA